AGTGAATCATCCATATAATACATACTAGTATTTGTATTGCTAGTTTTAAGTCAGAGCCATTGATTGTTATTACCATAATGTCTATATTCCCTGATTCCAATTTAATGCCATGTAAGCATTATGGAACATAAATGGGAAAATTTACAGCAGGCAGAAGTATGGGCAATGGTGATGTCATAAAATTGCAAACAAAAGAACTGTGTGAAGAAATGGGATAGAAAGCTGAAAATAGAGCTTATAATAAGACTATAAACTGTCAAGAAGGCTGTAACAGAAACATTGTAATCTCTAATAGAACAGCATGTTGTTTGTAAGCCAAATTTCCTAAAATGAACGAAAGATTTATGATATAAAGAGAACCCTGGACAAGTTCCAAGGAGAGCTAAGCTGATTAATATACAAGGAAAGGCTTTTGAGAGTGCAGGTATATTATCAAAGCTCTGACCTCTGCAGAAATTCACACGTCCTGAGGGAACATCTCTTGTTCATATGAGTCAACATACATTGCTAATAAATAATAATTTATTGAGTAAAATTGAGATTTATTGAACTGAGACGTTCTCATGCTGAGGCTGTTCAATCTAACAATCCTGTAGTACAGGATGGGATAACTGGTCTGTATAGAGGGTAAGGTTAGTTAAAGAGAATTGTGCCTTAACTGTGTGTATAACCATTTTGTGCAGAAGACGACAGATGGTTTGTTCTGTTGCTATTTTATCTCATGTACAGGAAGCTGCTGAACAATTGACTTCTGGCCATTCATTTCCTATGAGTTTAGTTATTAGTATTAACATTTCTTCACTCTGTCACTGTCTGAAAATTGAGGAAATGGCTTGCAGCTAATGACCAACATTTGTATACTTCACTTGAGGCAATATTATTATGATATGCCATAATATCAAGGGGTGTATGTGGACATTCATGGATGTGAAGGCATGCAAACGCTTATCAGGTACAGCAAGGTCTGTGAATGGTTGGGAAACAATATGCAAATATTTATTTATTTATTTATTTATTTATTTATCATGACTTCTGAAAACATTTTGTAACTGCACATCAGTAGGAACAAATATTAATTTCAACACCTAAATGGTTCACTCTATCAAATACCTTATACATACAGCACTGAGGAGAAAAGTAAGTAGATGCCAGTGTTAATATTAATTGATACAGGAAGCGCATGGGATGTTGATCCTGTTTTGTTGGATAAGTTTCCTTGCTCTGATACAGCTCTGGAGTGTTTTTCTTATGGTTATGCTGCTGTTATTACCACATTTTAAATATATATACACGATTGGATGTCCTCCTAAGGTGCCTTTTGGTAGATGGCTGTAACAAAGCTATTTAAACAAATTACTATGTTACACATAATTGACATGGGGACATTATAGGGCACATTAAAAATGTAATATTTATCTCAGAATAAAGGGTCAGTGAGTCAATGTGCTGAATTTAAAAACTCAAACACTTAACTCATCAAAATAAGATTGAATTCTTCACAAACATTACAACAGTAGCTACATGAGAATATTGTAGGCATAACCAACTGGACACTACAAGTACTTTTGGTGTGTCTCAGGAAAACTAAAATCTTGTAAACTATGAAAAAATAATGAAGTAGTTTGCTGAAAGGCAACCTCCAACATTTTTCCAAGTTGGAAAGGGTGCCTCTTATTGCGTTAGTTTTCATTATATTTAATTTTGAAAGTGTGTGAGATGGCATCCACTGGAAAAAGCAACTGGCAAGCTGACTTTTATTTTCTGAACAGGAAGAGGAAAGTAGCAGGACCTGGGTGAGATGAGCAGGAAATGGTTTTATGTATGGAGGACGACAATGTCATTAGGGAAGAAGGATTTAACAGAAAACAGAAAAATCCCTCTTGAAGGTAGGAAAGTTGGAATTGACTATTCATAGCAGCTGAGATAAGAATCCAATTTCATTTTTCTGACTCAAGGACAGAGGAAAAGTCCAGAGTAATGGGCCTCTAACCTCTTTTGAGGTTAATGGAGTCTTGGGATGCTAACAGAGTGTCTGGATCAATGAATTCTGCAAAGGTATAATGGGATTCATGTTATCTGACTTAGGATATTGTGTGAATGAAACCATCATGACTTGTCCATTTTTAGGTATGGTTTAGTGCAATATGTGTACCTAGCTGATTATAGCTTTTTTTAAAAAAACTTTTGTTGAGCAAAAGCAAACTATGGCTTAGCATTATCTAAGTACCAGGCTCATGTCTATGATATATGTTACCACATCTTTATCCTTTTATAAATTATTGGGCTATACAAAGCATTTTGGAAAGGTCCTTTCTGAAGCAACTAAAATATCTCCTTGAACCTGTTGCCTGATGCACTGAGGTGGCCAGATCTCTTAAAGGTTCAGAGCAATGCTATAAAGGCCTTTTTGTGCAGGCACAGAAGACACTTTTTGCTGCTACAGATTGGCAGTAATTGCTACAGAGATGGGCCCTAAGTACCGCTACACTTTTATTAATGACTTGGATGAAGAGATAGAGGAAATGCATACTAAATGTGCAAATGTCACAAAATTGGATTTGTTAATATTTGAGAAGGCAGGATTAAAATTCAAAAGAATCTTGATACATTAAAAATGGGCTGAAAAGAATGGAATTACATTTAACAGAAACAAATCCAAAGTCATTTATTTAGGAAACAGAAATTAAATACATAGACATAGAACAAGGTGAGGGATACTAGCTTTGGTAACAGTAGTATTCAGGCTTATTAATAAAAGTATATTTTCCACATCACAAGATGTAACAGTTACACTTTCCATTCTGTGATGGATAGAGTCCATCTTGAATATTGTGTCCAACTGTGAGGACCACACTTAAGTAAGGATTCAGACAAACTAGATCAGATTTAGAGAAGATAAGTGAAGATGATCAATGACTGGAAACTAAATCCCACACTGTAAAAGATATTGAAAGAATTATGCATGGTTAGCCTGAAGAAGAGAAGATGAAGTGAGATATATGATAGTACTCTTAAAATACCTGAAAGGAGGTCACACATAAGAAGGTTAAGGCCTGTTCGCTGTACTTACAGAACAAAAAATAATGGATGCAAATTACAGGAGGTTATATTTCACTGAATGATACAAAAAAATATTTCTAACAATAAGAATAATGCATCCCCTTCACTGGATGCATTGAACCTGTTGGGGATACTTTATTTTTGGTTATTGCATGCAGCAAGGGCTGGGACTTGATAAACTAAATGACCCTTTCTAACTACATGGTTTTATGTCATATCTTTATTTACATAAAATTAAACATGAAATCAATATACATTACCCTCTGACTGAATTCATCAACAAGCCATTAATGATAACATGGTAAACCAAAATCAAAGAATTCATATTATAATTTAGTGTGCTAGTGGTCACTGTGTGCCTATGAACTTATTAACATAGAGCCTATGATTAATACTTATTCAACATGCAACTAGTACAAAAGAAACAGCAGATGTGAAACCCAGTTCATTATTTCTTTATTATTTAATTTATTTAATTAGACTTTGGCCCCATCTGACTCCAGAATGTCCCTGGGCAGCCCACAATATAAAACAGAATGCCCTAACACACACAAAAAAAATACATAAAAGTAATAACACAATGACAAACTGGGTAGCAACATCAACACAAAAACAAAAAATACCAATCACCTCTGACAGCTGGGTCACATGCATCCTACCCCAAAGCCTTCCTCTGTGCCATCAGGGTGGGAGCTGACAGTCATTTTAGTCAAGCCATCCCAGACTCTTTGGCTCAACAGAACTGCAACCTGGGGCAAGTCCTGCAAATCAGTAGGAGTAGACATAGTTTATCAGAGAAGGGACTAGGTTGTTATCTTATATTAAGGCATCCATAAATACATGTATAGATGCTGATAGTAACAATAACAACTACATCATAGATTATGTGCAATATATCTGGGCTATAATTTTCAAATCAATAATGCAGATGAAGTTGACAGATTACTTTTTAAAAAGTACCTCACAGGGTTATTGTTGTAGGAAAAAATAGGAGGAAGAAGAACTGGGTATCTCACCTTGAATTCCTGTACAAAAAAAGGCAGGATATAAATCAAAGAAATAAATAATACATTCTGGCTCTAAGCTCTCTATATAATGTAAATTATTCAGACAAGACATTACATTAAGAGAGCCATCTACTGGCAACTATTAAAATCTGCTAAATGCATCAATTTGAATTAAGGTTCATGTTCAAGTTTATTTAAATCAGTGAAGAGAAACCACATTCTCTTCTCTGGGTTAAACTTAATGTACACTGTCCAGTAGATTTGGCTACTGATATGTTGTCATAAATTAACACTGCGGTTTTTTGCATGCCTTATTCAGTTTAATTCTAACATCAAGAACCCAATTTCTAGGCAAAAATGTGTATATTTGCAACTATGTATTCAACTAAGTTATCCATACTTATATTGTAATTAATTACACAAACTAAAACTATATAGGGATGTTCTTTGGTTTATCAAGAAAATGCTTAACTTCAACCTGTTAGAAGAGAAAGTTAGAGTTTAAAGTATTTAGCCAATTAGTGGCAGTGTACAACTGACTAGAAATACCTAATCCATAAAACTCAGCGGGTTGCATATGAAAAACTAGATTTCACAGCTTCATTTCCTCAGAATCCCAACATTGCAACTTTTCTAAACTCGAAGCCTACATTTCCCAAACGGCAGTTCTTCTCAGAGGGTCCGCTTCCGCCTAAAGAGCAATGCTTTCTGGGACTTGCAGTCCATGCCTAGGTATCAAATGAGACGGCCGCAATGTCGGATTCCCCCAGTCTATGGTAACACTGTACACTTAACGTACTGTTTGGCCAGGCAGATTTGGTTTCCCTTTCCGGAAGCAGTGCGCTGGAGGATAAGTAACGGCAGCCGAAGTGGATCAAAAGAATCGGTGGTAAGTCGAAACTGGATTTTTTTTTTAACTTTTGGTGGGCGGGAGGGCTTCTCGCCTTAATCTAGCTCCGGGACCTGGATGAATGCGAATGTGGGAAGAAGGATTCGAAGTCCTGGATTCTTCGGAGTTCTCTTCGGGGAGGGAACAATCGATTCAGAACCCTGAGCGAGGCTCCTGGTGTGTGGAAGACCCTTTTGCAGCGGGTGAATAATAATCATCTGAGACAGTGGGGCTCCGATGGACCGCGGGAGAGGAAAGGTCTCTGAAATTTCTGCGGCGGAAAAGTGCTATTTTGAGGAAAAAAATCTCTTCCTTGTTAAGGAAAGTTCCGAAACATTGGCTTTTTAAAAAGGTTATTGAGAGTCATCTAAAATAGTAAAAAAAAAAAAAACACTCTTTTTTTCAAGTCAAGGCGTTTGAAATGAAAGTTTTGATCATCTGGCGACTTCGCTGGGGGCAACGTGTAGCAATGGAGCAAAGACGAAGGAGTGCGTGTCTGAACGAGTTTAACTAACGTTGCGGGGCGGGGGGCGTCTGATTTGACTGTTTAAAAAGATTACTCTGATTTTTCTGCCCGAAGGCAAAGATGATACCGTTTGCAAATTACAGACCGGTAACTCCAATAGTGAATTTAAATCTGAAGCTGGGGAAGATCCGTTCAGTTTGATTTTTAAAAATGCTTTCGAAAGAAAATTAGGAAGTGTCTCAATCTCATTTAGAGTGCTTGTTTGGCAAAACGCTGATAAGACACTATTGTTTTTCTTCATATTCTTCTAAATGTCATGAGTTTATTTATACCCATATTGCCTCTGGGCAGGAACTTCCAGCTTGCAAATAAATCAAAATTACAGCAAAAATGTGCTCCTCTTTTAATACAACTGTTCCCATGAATTCTTCATCTTTTAAAATCCTTTTGACAATCATCTATAAATATGGATAAAAGTGCCACCAGCCTACTTACTTCTGTGTTTTTTATCCTGGCAGTTGGATAGCTTCTCCCCTTTTTTGGAACTAGATAATGTACTGTCTTTTCTCTTCCCTAATAAATGTATTCACAGAGAGCTGCTTAGCTGTAAAAGCTCAGTATGTGTATGTTTGAATATGTGAAAAACTCCTCACCAACCTTCCCTGAATGTTTGGGAGAAGTGGAACCAATGAGACATCTTCTCTGGACCTGCACAGTGAACTAACATGAGCTAGCTCTAAATCAGTGTTTCTCAACCTTGGTCACTTTAAGATGTGTGGACTTCAACTCCCAGAATTCCCCAG